GTTTTGGTTTTGGACAAGGTTTTGGACAGGTTTTGGACAAGGTGTCCAAAACCAAAACTGTCCAATTTCCCAGCACTAGATTACAGTATATGAATACACTTCTTCAATTATATGTCTTAAAAAATGTTTAGAAGAAATTAGAGATGAATTTACACATCAAATTACAAATAATAAAGTTATTACTATATTAAAAAGCCGGGGATTTTTTGATGATATGCAATATCTAACAGAAATACTTGTACCAATTAAATCTGGAATTCTTGAAGTAGAGGGAAGCCAATCTAATCTTGCAGATTGCTATATTGCTCTTTTTAAGATTGGTATTGCAATTAATAATTTATCACAAAATGAATATTATGAATTTAGAAATTATTGTATTCAAGTATTTAATAAACGATATGAAGAATTTGATGATCCAAATTACCTTTTAACATTTTTTTTACATCCTGCCTACAAAGGAACTGGAATTAAGTTTGGTACATTTCCTAAAATTGCTTATCATGCTAGTATATTATGGAAATCTTTAGGAAAAACAAAAGAGAGCTTTGAATCATTAATAACACAATTATGGGAATATAAATTACAAGAACATTCTGATGAAACTCCAAATGCATATGCAATGCCTTATATAGCTAATCAAGATACACCATTAAGCTGGTGGACAACATGTGAAGTTAATCCAAATGAATTACAATGTCTTGCTCTACGGCTATTTGCCATTACACCTAGTAGTGCAGCATGTGAGCGTACATTCTCAGCTTTAAATTGGCTTTATAGTAAACGGCGACAATAAATGAATACTCAAACTTTAGAAAATATTGCTAAAGTTCATTGATTTAATATTTCACAAATTGAAACAAATACTCAGCAGACTGAAAGTAATGAGTTAAACATTAATGATATATATACATTAGTTAATTCTATGTTCGATGATTTCGAAGAAGATAACGATTCTCAAGATGAAGAAATCGATCAACTTTCTGTTTTAAACTCAACTAACACTATGGCAAATAATTTAGAATTAGGAATTAAATCATTTATTAATTTTAATTCACAAATTTTTGAATTATTCAATAGTAATCAAGATAATATTATTGAAAATGAAAATTCTAACAATAATAAAGTTTTTGAAGATTATAATCTGGAAACTATTATTCAAAGCATGAATCTTGATAAGGTATAATATAAATTTTACAAATAAATAATTTTTATTTTTATTACATATAAAACTTACTAATTTACATTTATATTTATAGGAATAATATTATATTTTCAAATCATATTAAAATTTTCAAAATAATTTGTAGAAATATAGATTGCAGTTTTGAATTATTCAAACATCGATGATACATAGCATATAATCAAGAAAGGATATTTTTATATTGCATTTAAGCAAAAATATTAGTTGTAAATAAATGTATTAGAATTATAATGCTATACTGTATAAATCACAATAAATACAAATACTTACATAATTCACTTGAATATTATTGAATAATTGTTGCAATTATAGTTAAAATTTTCACACAATAGGTTGAATAATTACCTTTGGATTGTTAATATATGCACTAATCCAAATTTGAATAATTAACTTTGAACCTTTACTACATACAATTTAAATATACAATAGAAATATTTTGCAAATTCGGATTTTTTTTTAAATTAATTTTAAAAATTAAGTATAAAATTTTGTTAACTTAAATCAAGAAACTATTATGTTATAAGTTATTTATATCAATATATTATTTACTTAGAATATGACTACTCAGTGACTTTATGATTATATGATTTGCAAATTTTTTGCATCTTGCATATTTGCATCTAATTTTGACCTTGTGACTCTGAGACCTTACACCTTTTTGTAGAAAAAAGAGTGTTCGCAAAGGTCGCAAATAAGGTTGAAACGATGCAAAGGCTGCGATATTGCAGTAGGCATCTCTAATGGTATATTATTAATAAAAAAAATAGAATTTACGAATCGCATTTTTCAAAACAAATACGTCGTTAATTTAATCAATATCAGAAATCTGAACACTAATTCTGAATCACCCTACTTTATTAATAAGGGTACGCTCTTGAATATTTGGTTTAACAAATTTATAATAACAAATGAAGTCTTAGTTTTGTGTTTTAAATGTCTTATATTTACTTTATTCTATTTCGAGAGTTTGATTATAAGAGCTGTCTAGCACAAATTTATTTAAATGCCTATATTTAAAGCTTTAGAGCTTTATTAATAAATATAATGTATATAAAAAGCTATTCGCTTAAGAATATTTATTATTATATCCATCCTCGCATTTATTCATCAATTCTTTTTAATATAAATTTCTTTTAATTAATGTATTAAATTCGAATAGTTAAATTTATTATTCACATTATTAAACAATTATTTAAATTTGAAATAATAATAATGATTTTGAATTAAACTAGTGACGTATTTGTCTTGAAAATAAATGATTTATAAGTTTTATTCTTTTTATATGATAATAGGGTGATTCATAATTAAGGTCAGGTTTCTGATTTCATATTTAATTAGTTATGTATTCATTTCGAATAGTGCTCGGCAAAATCAAACAAAAATTTGACAGTCAAATACTTGTGATTAAGTCGGACATCAAATGAACCAATACTATATGTTCAGTTTTGGTTAACCTGCGATCGTTTGATGTCCGATTTAGTCACAAGCATTTGATTGTCAAATTTTTGTTTGATTGTGCCTTAACTATTTATAAATTGCTTAAAATAGTTCAATTATATATTATAATTCTATATTGCCTACCTACACTAAAGATCATCCAAATATGGATATATAAGCTATAAAAATTATTATAATTTATTTAAAGATTTCTGCCTGTTTCTATTTACACAGCCTATTTCTTTATATTTTAAAAAATTATTAGATTATTAATAATTATAAAATTTTTTGAATTTGTGAATATAGTAAATGCGGGTAATTATATTTATTTATATCTTTCAAATTGGATTTAGACTTTTTTATAATATATTTGTTTTTAGTAATGGCAACAAGTCAACCTATTGATTATATTGAAATTCCTGATAATGAAACATAATAAATAACATAATTCAGTAAGGTGTTTGATATTGAAAAGCATAGAACAAAAAAGAAATTCTTGATGAAAGATTTCAAGAGTAGATTTTTTGATTTTCAAAAATATTTTATAAGAATTTTTATGTATCAAGTAGAAAATTTTTTTTGATTAAATATTATTAATTTAGCTGTTAATTAAAATTTTGAGTTTATGTGATAAAGTGTTTTGTGATCTCAATCATCAATCATCAATCAATCAAAATCAATCAAATCATCATCATCAATTATCAATCATCATCAATCAATCAAACATTATAAAATTACCAGCTGTCACAAGTGTGTCCGTTTTTAATTATCTGATTGGATAAAAAAAGTGTCTTGACTAATGATAGAATACATCATTGTACATTGCAGGCATATTGACATAATCATTTCTCATAATGATTGTATTCTTGTAAGATCCAGTTGATTAGCTTTCCCATATATATATGTGCATGTGCATGAACTAATGACTTTGACATAACAAGAATACAATATTACAATGATATGTAACATTTTTTATAGATGTCAAAATATTATTTTTAATTGGTTAGCTTCTTATATCAAAATACAGTCAGACCTCTCTAAATGCATCCCCCCTAAATGCATACCCTTTTTAAATGCATACTAATTGTCTGGCCCATTGACGGGCTTAATAAATAAATGCATATTCTTTATTCTGTAAATGCATATTATTTTTTTGGCCCACATATAATAAGTCCCCCT